CGATAAATTCATCTGAATGGCAAAGAAAGCACTCTTACAGAACACCCTAAGTTTATTGAGATTATTTGGATTCATCTTCAATGCCTCCTACATCTTACCATACATGCTCAATAAAGTTGATGTCTGGTGACTGGGCTGGTCAAGTCTGGAGAACTTTGACCTTCTTTGCTTTCAGGAGCTTTGATGTGGAGGTTGAAATATGAGGAGCGCTATCTTGCCGAAGAATTTGACCTCTCCTGTGGTTTGTAATGTAATGGCCAGCACAAATGTCTTGATACCTTAGGCTGTTGATGTTGCCATTCACTCTGCAGATCTCTCGCTTACCCCTACACTGAATTTAACCTTGAACCATGATATTTCCTTCACCAAACTTGACTGATTTCTGTGAGAATCTTAGATCTATGCAGGTTTCAGTAGGTCTTTTGCAGTATTTGTGATGATTGTGATGTAGTTCAACAGATAATTTATTGGAAAAATCTACCTTCTGTCACTTTCCCAAAAGATGAACTAAAAGTAATTATTTGTGCAACTGGGATCAACGACAAGACATTTGTCAGAGTGTATAGCATTAAATTTCTATTTTATTTAAAATCTGTTTTTTTTTTTACTTTATTGTAAAAATCCTTTCATTAACAATCTGCACTAAATCAACTATATGATTAGAACGACTATTAGAATTACTTCTGAAGTAATAGCTGCAAACAATTTGACATGAAATCAATACATCATGTATTGCCAGGGCCGGAGTAGGACTCCTTTTCAGCCCTGGAGTTTCAAGCCTTGGACCAGCCCACCTCAGTTCATGACTGACTATAATAAAATAATGTTATTTCCAATTCAGTTTCTAATGACACTATCATGTCTTTTTCAAGGAAACAGCTGCTTTAGGGCTTCAAATGTTTTTCATAAATATGAGAAAATTAAAAGGTAGCTAAATCTTCAACACTATTCTTTAAAACATCACAATGCCCTTTCCTGCAATATCTAAATATATATTCTGTGCGAAATTCTTTACAGATATGCAGTCCTTTGAAACAGTGGTCACACAAAAAATAAAAATAAAATATGTACACCTATATAAGTATTATACAGTATTAAACAGTATTATATTTCTTAACACTATAAATAAAAAAAAAAAACTCAGGTGATGTTGGAAGTCAGGTTGACGGCGACACTCAAAGCATAGTGCTGACCACTGGACCACAATGGCGCTGTTCTGCCGTTTTGTTTGGAATAAAACATGAGTACTGCACTGTTATCTGCAAGATTCTTTTAACCACAGTATTACTTTCTATTGATGGCTTGATCTTTTTCTCCCCTTTTTAGATTTCTGATCAAGTTATGTCAGATTTATTAATGTAGTGAAGCATCAGATCTTCATTGAGCAGGTGTAATATTCATTAATATTAATTTTTCAAATTATTATGTTCACTAAGGTGCCACTGTTTGGGATCGAATGATAGTTACATCATCATTAACATGCAGGCTGCATTTTGCTCAAGGGGCTGCAAGAAAATAAATAAAAAGAGTGGAGCTGTGGCAAAATAATGAATAAAAAGAGTGAGGCTATGGGCAAAAAAATAAATTAATTAAAAAAGTGTGACTGCTGAGAGTGCAAGCAGCAAGGGACACCGGCCTTCATGGCCAAAAAAACGAACCAGCCCACCGGGAACTCTCCCGGTCCTCCTGATTAGCCAATCCAGGCCTGTGTATTGCTCACATTCGTATGTGACCAATGCGTGAACAGCTGGTGACAAAATTAAAAAACAGTGTAATTTTAATGACTACATCTGTTGGCATGATGATGCTGGTTAATTGCAAATATTTTTGAACCAATCCATATCGTTATGATTAGTTTTGTTTTGTTTTTTTGGTTGTTCCACACAGCTGTCATCCACATCACTCTCAGCAGCAGAGATGGTGTCTGGATGTTTGCTTTCTGCAAGTTGCCACAAAAAAAAAATAATAATAATTATAAACAATTCACTCAAACACCACTGGTGTCGTGTATAACAAGAATTTCTGGATTCTACATTCTCCCCCTTTAAGTATTGAGTAGCTTATAGTCAGACTTCATCAACACTAAATCATACAATTCCATTAGTCTTTTTATACTATACTGAAAAGCCACAGTGTGTCAACCAGAAATACTGCTGAATGGCTCTGTTAAATCTTACAAAAGACCCCTATGAGTGAAATAACCACAGTGCTGAATCACATGTGTTGAAACAGGAAGTGCAGACCAGGCCCATCACCGCAACTCTGAGTAACCCTAACATCTCCAAAACAAGACCCTTTACTCCGTCTACAGGAAATTCAACCCTTCTCCATGGACAAAATGAGAGCTGTTTCACTGTGCAGCACACTCTTTCCTGTGGGTGTGCAGCTTTTAGGGACGAGTGAGAAGTAGAGTGCTTCCTTCATTTATTTTTAGTAATGAATGGATCCATCTTCTCCCTGCTCAAATCAGATCAACAATTCTCTAAGCTACACATAGGCAACAAAGCTGCAGATATGATTATAAGCATCACTATGTATATTGGTGAATATGGTTTATACGTGCTGTGCATGTAGTGTACTTAACATGAAAGCACATGGATGTTTACATATTTTATGTCCAGAGAGATGATGGATTATCTTGTGCACTAAGTGCAGATCCAATCTAAAAGTGGAAAAAGCTCTTCTTGTACAAAGCCATACGAGAACACGTTTCATTTTAGCAAGCTTTTAGGTACTTCAACACAATTATCAGAAAATCAAACATAAGAAACATAACATTTGTGATCCTGTATGACAGTCTTAAGGATTTAAATGTCAATATGCTATTTATAATCTTTCCATTGATGTATGGTTTATTAGGATAGGACAACTTATTTCAAAATCTGTAAAAAAAATCTAAATATTGAGAAATTCATCTTTAAATTAAGCAATACAAATTACTACTAAAATAAAATTATATTTTGAAATAATTATGGTGGAAAATGTACAAAATGCCAGTAACCCTTAAGTTAACATCACAATTTCCTGCTATTAACTGATGGTTTATTACCAGCTTAATATTAACATATTAACTATTTATTAGTAGTTATAAAGTATGATCTTATTCTGCATCCTTAATCCAACCCAAAACCTTAACCCATTTTCTACAGTCTATCTAATAATAAACAGCAAATTAGTAGTTTATTAAGCTAGTAGTGTTAGTTAATGGTTTAGTAATGCAGTTCATTGTGACTTAAACTAAAGTGTTACCAAAATGTCATCATGGAAGATGATCTTTATTTAGTATTATAATAATGTATGGCATAAAAGAAAAATATGATCATTTTAATGTAATCATGTTTTCCACAAACACACCAGTGCAACTTAAAGGAATGCTACAAACTCACTTCATAACTTCAGTCGATATTGAATATTTGAAATAAATCCTTTTTTAACAACATTCTTTAGTCGTGTGTTTATTAGTGACACTGAACCAATGAAAGCAGTTAAAATTTATGTTTATAAACGCAAAGCTATGGGGATTTCCTGGATTTCACCTTCATGGGTGTTTAGAGTTTTTGATTTCATTTTGATTCACCTTCACAATCCTAGTTTAAATTTAAAAAGGAAAAGAAAACAATGTCTGGTTTAGTTTTGCAGTCATAAGAGCATTAGAAACAAATACTGATGTTTTCAATATATTTAATTGTCCTTTTAAGTTTATATGTGAATTATTTTTTCTCTCCTACTAAACATCTGTACTCTGGATTAGGCTAACTGAAAAATGCCATCTTTACTAGTGCTGATGTTTTGTTGCTTTGTCTCATTTGTAAGTCACTTTTAATTATTTAATAAACGCATCTGCTAACTGATTATATGTATATGTATTTTCTTTCAGCACTCTAAAGTAGCAGGTAATATGAACCCAATATACAATAAGCCCACATAAGGATAACAATACAATCATTTTTAAATTTTTTAGTTGAAGCTCTACAATTTTATTAGTGTAGCTATTGCAAGAAGGGTTAGTCGATGTCGTCCAATTTGGCATCGTATGTTTAATGTGATACATCACGATGGACAATGGCATTGTCGACGTAGGTGGCGGTAAATTAATTATTTATAAATAATGAATATTTACGAATGAACTAATATCGAATACATTTTTTGTAGCCTAGGTTACCGTTTCAACTACCTGATCTGCATGGTCTAAAGAATAAATTACACACAAATTACCACCTGTCAATCACCTTTTTTCCGCGGGACTCTGGCATGAATAGGCAGAGTGATCTGTGTCGTTATAATGGCGTTGACAAACTTGGTTTGTAAAAAAAAGGCCACAACCAACAAGAACCAACCAACAGTATCTGAGGTTTTCGCTAGAATTATTAAGTACAAGCATGATAGCGAAGATTGAAGCAGTCTACTGATGCTGTGACAAATAAACTGATGAATTAAAAGACAGAAGAGTCGTTAGATATAGACAAGAATAATTTAATATCACGTTTATAAACTATAATGGGACGCAATCCAGCAGTACATCCTTGATAAACTCTCTGATGTGCACTGCTCTCTGGGCTGACTGCTGGAGCTTAGACACTGCAGCGCATGACAGAGTGTGTGTGTCATGTGATGTGCATTTTCAGTAGTATAGTGTGGAGACTTTTCAGAAATATTAGATTAAACGCCTGCGTGGACGTGGATTGTTTTCGTTCTAAAATGCCATTTTAAAACTAAGATGTATTAGTGTTAACAGGGCCATGTGTATTTTTTTGAGAGCTTCTATCAGCCAGTTTCGCCTATCGACCCAACCCTAATTGTAAGTTTTGACTGTGTAACAATGAGTAAAAGATAGTATTTTAGTTCTTTGTACAGCTTCTAATAAGACACTAAAAATATGCAAATCTGAATATTGAATACAAAATAATAACTTTATGCATGTCTGTGTGTACGAGCTGCAATTAAAGTCACATTGAACTCGAATGAGGACATTCACAAGGATGCAAGACATAATTACTGACCTTTGACCTGTGCACCTCTCCATCATCATCCTCTCCTCCGACACCCAGGATTTTGCGTGTCTTGAGTCGGCTTACCAGATCGGTCTGACTGTGTTTCTTCATCAGAGGCGGATGAGGTTTAGTGGCCATTCCAACAGTCTAGAGAAGAAGAACGCAGAGTGAGAGCAAGATCAGATCTGATTTTGTCACTACATGTTCATGCATGTACTGTTTTATGGCCGCACACTCATTCCTGTGCACTGGGATTAGAGTTCTCTGTCTTCTTCTTCTTCTAATGAGAGCAGAACTTTACTATGCACAGTCCTCAAGGGCACCAGGCTGTCTTGACATATCAGTGAACCCCCTTATGAAGCAACTGATTACTCATGGGAATCAATTACTGTATATTTTGGTCTTAAAAAGACGTCATCTGCCTTGACAAGAGCCTTAGTTCCTGTTGGAATTTTGCTGGTAAATTGGTGACCAAGGCAAATCACAATTTTAGCATGATTTCTGAAGCATCATGTGACACGAGAATGGACTATTGGCTGCTGAAGTTCTGCTTTGCATCAGTGGTTTTATAAAGGGAAAATTGTGGATTTATGGACAAAGAAAAATGTAAGAAATAAATGTAATAAACTAGTACTTCAATATGGTCTCATTTGAAGTTTCTGTCAGATTCCACCATTGTTTTTTAGGCTCCCTGAATATGGAAACAACTTTGTATGTGCCTCATTCTGATCTTACTGCAAATACATGATCTGCTTTGTGCATTTAAATATTTATGTATTCCAGTGCTAAAAGTCTTTTATTTAAAACAAACTATAAGAAATTAGCCTTATTTTGACTCCAGAAGAACTATTTATGTTTTATAGGAAATACTGAAGTTTTCCTTGAAAAATGGCCTTGGTTTGCTAAAGATCACATGAAAAACATTTTAAATTAATGGGAGGGCAAAATATTTTTACTTCAACTGTATTTGTTAATGGTTACAAGTAAAAAAAGAGCCTTGATGTATCAATGTTAAAAATGTGTAATTCAACAACAATACAAATTAACTACAATACATAAATTAACATGGAAGATTATTTAGATTTGAAGTTATTTAATTAGCTTGTTTTTGAAGACTGCAGAGTGATGCATGAAAAAAAATGACTTTGGATAATTGTTTAAGCAGTTTGTGATATATGTTAAAGTGTACCCCCTAACACAAGTGGCTTCTTCCCAGGCCCCCCAGTTACTCTGGTCTAGAACTGCCACTGGAAATTAACCTTTTTGGTCTTTTACCGTTTATACTCACTCACTTGGTAAGTTATCAAGGTCCCTTCAGTGTAGCTGAATTGTTTTATGCTCATGAATAGGTTTAGGGCTCTAACGTCCATGCAGAGAGCGCAAAACGCAGGGCGCAAACGCTTTCAGGGCGTATCAGAACGCATTTTTGCTAATTTGAGGACGGGAAAATCCGCTTTGCGTCATGGCGCATGGTCTAAAATGGTTGAGTTTATCTTCTTAATGAGTTATACAGTAGGTGTGTTTTGAGAATAAACCAATTAGAGTCTCATTTCCCATTCCCTTTAAGAGCCAGCTGCGTCGCGCCATAAGCGTATTCGATATTTACAGGACGTAAAGTAAGTCTAAGTGGAAAAACTGAGCATTTCACTAGCAAACAGTTAACAGTTTTTTTAACAGAAAACTGTTAAACAGAGCATCTACTGCTGAGAATGAGAGATAATGGATCACTTTCTCTCTTGGATAGGGAAACCTTTACGCACAGATATCAATTAGTCTATAAATAATTAATTGCGTTTGTCAAGCGCAAATATTCGTTTCAAAACTATTTCTAAATTAAGTTCTTATGTCCAGGTTATGTCCATAAGGTTCTATCTGCGTTCTGAATGATTTTGACATATTGAGCTTCAAAGTTTTTGCATTCCATAGCAAACAGTATGTGTGTAACATTTTTTTTTTTTATAAAAAGTCTTAAAATGTAAACAACTTACAAAAAAACATCCCATAATGTAAATAAGTTGTCATTTAATAAGCATATGTCAATAACTCAATTTTGACAAAAATGTCAAATAGAACCTTATAATTCTAAAATGACGCATTATAAATGTCAAGCCTAAATGAATTTATTTAAAGTGAAACTGACACTGTTGCTTGATGAAATAGATCACAGCACATTTTAAAATAAATAACTAAAAACTGATCTATGAAAACATGTCATCCTTTTTATTAATCCAACAAACACAGTTCCAAAACTGAGTCTAAGGCCCAACCCCATAGGGCAGGGGTGTCCAAACTCGGTCCTGGAGGGCCGATGTCCTGCAGATTTTAGCTCTAACTTGCCTTAACACATCTGTATGGATGTTTCTAGAAAGCCTAGTAAGAGCTTGATTACCTTGCCCTGGTGTGTCTGATTGGGGTTGGAACTAAACTTTGCAGGACACCGGCCCATCAGGACAGAGTGTGGACACCCCAGCCGTAGGACTGAGGACAAAGGGATATATACCCCTTCGAATGAAGATTTTTCAGGACCACACTTGAAACCAAGGGGTAAGAAAATTTCCCAGAATACACCAGCCACAGCTACACCCGGTAGTAAGGATATCCACAAATGAGTACTTTTGTCATTATTACAAATTTTAACAACAAACAAGCACATGTTTAAATACATTCAAAACCGCATTCGTGCTTTACAATCATGTTAAAAAAAAAAAACACTAAAATTAAACACGCTAAATTTTGCAATCTATAATCCTTAATAATAACTCCTGTACAAAAGATCCATAACATTCTGACACTGGAATACCCTGTCAGTAATGTCTAGTGGTTGGGAATGAGCTTTTTACAGTGTCTGCTATAATGTTAATGTTGTTTTGGTGTGTTTACATAGATGAATATGGTCACGGTGTAAATGCAGAGTACAGTTATGATCTTATTGCACATTATATCGTTATGATAACATAATATATGCCTTCAGGGATTTCCTGAAGATAAATATAAAAAAAATAACACAACTAGAATCACTATAGCAGTCACGATCATCTGATCTCAAATTAAGCAAGAAATGGTGATGACATATGATGACGTGTACAGGTGCTGTAGTCCTATCCCAATTCTTAGGGGTAAATTTAAGCCCTTCCCCTTAACACTTGGTTTTAAGGGGGAAGGGGAAGGGGTAGCGGTACAAAAATAGAATTGGAATTGGGCCTAAGTGAACCCTATATGAAGCAATGAATTACTCAAGGGACTCGATTATATTTTACTTTCATTAAGGCTTTTAAATTACATCACAAGAGACAAAATCAGACTTGACAAGACCCTTAGTTGCTGCTGCACATTTCCAGACAAAACTTAAACTGTACATGCTGACAAGTGTCCACACGCCGCCTCGACTTTACATCACAAAATTGTGTTCTTATTTCTCATGTCTCCAATGTAATTTCCTGTTATTTGGACATTGTGTCTCACAATTGTGACATGCATGTGTTCCCTAAAAACAAGTCTGTAGTCATACTGGAAAAGGACATTTGAATGTGAGAAGTTGACAGGGCTACAGCGTGTCCTGCTTGGTCTGCAAGAATATGATATCTCTCAGGTGGATGAATAAGAGCAGGGCATGAGTGAGTGTAAAGGGGCTGTCTTTCAGTGTGTGTACTGCAGTCACCTGCTTTAGTGTGCTGGACAGCAATAGTATGGCAGGTGCTCCCTCAGCTGAGGGAGAGGGGAGTTTGGTGTCACAATCGATGTGGAAGAGGATGAAACGGATGAAAAGGCTCCAGCACTTCTGAGCCTGGAGGAGTTCAGGAAGCTGAAAGAGGGGAAAGAACAGAGAGGAGTGGATTTTAAAAATACAACAGTCAGCAGTGTGTTCTTCAAACAGCAAGAAGTATATAAAACATGGCGTGTTGCTTTAAGTTTTAATGAAGATATGTTTAGACCCGAGTTTTAAAGATGAAAAATTAAAATAAATCACTGCTGCAACACATTGCAATACATTCACATTAATAATAGAATACAGCGTTCACACATTTCATACATTAGAGAGAATCGGTTTACCTACTTTTTTAGTCACAAGGAAAAAACTACTATCATACTTTTTTGAATACAAAGATGACACCCACTAAAATAGGATTGAAAGTAGCAAAATATTATCAGACCTATTTAGAACAATAATTAATTATATTTATATTTTAAAAGTGGTTTAATATGTGTATTAGCAAATAAAAATGCTGCTTGACATTGAGAAATCTATATTCAACATAGATGATTTCATGTTTTAAAATGTATTCAAACATAAAACAGTTAATTTTATTGTATAAATATTTACAATATTACTTTTCTTATTTGATGTATTAATTGCAGCTTTTTTCATTTTTTGGATCAGTAAACAACCCATGCATGCAGACAGTAAAAAATTCTTGCCACATAGATATGAAGGGTTCCTGCAAAAGCCTCTAAACGCCATGTCCGCCAAAAATCAGTTAATGACATTGAGCGAATGCTTTAGGCACAAAGTACATGTTCGACAAATATTTTTGCTTTAAATCATCTAAACACCAGCGTCCGCCCATTCAGAAATTACAGTTTGTTTGCAAAAGCCTCTAAACGCCACTTGCCTTTGACAGCAAAAGCCGCTTTGTCCCAAGAACCAATCAGAAGGCACAAATGGGATCATGTGTTTTCAGTGTAGCAGTGCTGATACGCCGGCTTTTTATGAGGAGAGCGTTTTATTTCGATTAAGACTTTAAAAGATGAGGTTTGATGAACTGCATGAGCCTGTCTGATTGTCAGAGAATGGCAAATGAAAACGTCCCTTTCATCAAAACTCTGTGCATTATAAGAAAAAGAAATCACACTATGCAGTCAGAAGTGTAACATGCATTCATAACAGTTTTTTGCACAGTGACACTAATTTGAAAGAGTTCTATTAACTGTACATTAGACAACAACTTAACTTCATCAAAGATGGAATCAAGATGCTGTTCTTGCTGTTCAGCAAGATTAATTAAGGTCAATTTTAATGTTATTGATTAACGCACTTACTTGACAGATTTGTGTATTTTTATTTTAGGTGCTTAGGGTAATGTGTTTTATGTTTGGTTAAATAAATTCTAATTATATCTTTAGTGTATGGGTGGAGCCGAACCCGAATACGGTATTCGGAAAGGCACGAATAGCGTGTTTTTACAAATACTTATTTCGAACAAATACTTGAAAATGTATTTGTATTCGGGAACAAGAAAAACATTCTATCAAAAACCTGCGTTTCCTCATGAGACCGCAGAGCATGCCCGCGTGAGTGAGTGAGAGAGTGAGTGAGAAAGTGAGTGAGACGCTCAGGAGTCGGAGGGCGGGGTGGAGGTAAAGGTGACTGGCACGGCTTCTCCACACAGCAACAGAGAAGGCTCGGCTGAGCGAAAAAATGCTTCACTGCATCACTATTTATGTTAAACAGATTTTTGTACCTTAATTGGGTTCCAGAAGCAGTTTATAAACTTGTAGCGCAGTTGAAGCGGAGTTTGATCGGGATATTCCATTACGCTGCATTATTGACGTCTGCTATCGGGTGCTCTCTGTTTACGCAACGTTAGCTCTGTTAGCGCGGTAATTTAGACAATAGACTGTTGACAGAGTAACGTTAACGTTCGTTTATAAAGGTTAAAACGATGATTGTGCAGTTGTGTCGAATAGTATGCACTTATGGGAGTTATATGGTACGTCTAAATTAGTGTCTTTTGCAGACAGCAATGTACTTGCTATAGGCTAGTTAACCTTAGCATAGCTTCCCATCATTTATTAACTTGAAACTCCTCAAATATATTTGGGCACCGAAATAGAAAAAAGTGAGACTGCTGCTGAGCCATTTCTTGGTCCTCCACCAGTCAAAAATAATAATAAATAAAAAATAAAAAAAGCTTGTTCAAGTTCATTTTACAGTCAGTGGTGCTGCAGATAAAACAAAGTGATACTGTATGTAATGTGTGCAAAAGTGAAATCAGCAGAGGCAGAGAAATCAAACGTCTGTCAACATCTTCCATGCACATTCATTCATTCATTCATGATCTTTTTGGCTTAGTCCCTTCATTAATCTGGGGTTGCCACAGTGGAATGAACCACCAATTTATCCAGCATATGTTTTGCATAGTGGATGTCCTTTCAGCTGCTACCCAGCACTTGGAAACATCCATACACTCTCTTTCACACACATACAATACGGACAATTTAGCTTACCCAATTCACCTACCTCACATGGGGAGAACATGCAAACTCCACATAGAAATGCCAACTAACTCAGCTGAGGCTCGAACCAGCAACCTTCTTGCTGTGAGGCGACAGCGTTACTCACTGTGCCACCGCGCAACCCTCTATGTAATGTATTATCACATGCACTTAAAGCATCCTCGCCTGATACTGTCTGCCAACCCCCCACAAGCATCAATCCCCTCATCGGCAAAGCCATGTTCTGCTAAATTTTCCACAAGCACCAAACCATCAACACAGCCACATTCTGCCCCTGCAAGTCATTTTACTTTTACTTTTGTTCTGCCAGACCTCCCAGTCAGGGGTTTATTTAGTTTTATTTAGTTAATTTTAGTTTTTGGTATTCTGTGCATTAGAAAGAAGTTCTTTCAGAAAAAGAAAAGTATTGTCTGTTTTATTCTGTCTATTCAGCGTCCTTCAACAAGAACGGTGGTGGTGGGGTTCATAATATTCACAATGGTAGTTTAGTTATTGGTTTAACCATGGATGAGGTAATGGCTTATATGTTTTCAATGACGTTTCTTGTTACATGTTCAAAAACATCAACCAATATTGCATATCCATAATTATTATAATGGGTATAATTAAACAATACTTACACTATAACGTAAATTAGAAGTGTAATAAAAAAAATATATATTTTTGCATCATTTTGAATTTTACTCGAATACAAATACAAATACATTTCCCTTAGTGATTTAGTGATTTTTCAACTAATTACACTGTCTTGTCCCAGTAGGTGGATTTAGAGGTTTTTGCAAAAAAAAAAAAAGCACAAGTGGATTTAGCTGGTTGACGCAAAAGAAAATCTACTTTGTTAAAATCAAAGAATTGTCTAAAGTGACATTTTTGGGAAAAATATATATATATTATTTATTACAAGCTCATAAAATTTTCATTATCTATGAAATGAAACCACTGGACCTATATATAGAAGCCTGATTAAAAAATGCCCATTTACAAAAAAAAATAAATAAGTCTGATGGATTTATATGGTTATTTGCAAGCATATACACGTATGATCTGCTAAACCTGAATGAGCTGTGAATGAATGAGAGCAGCTTCTCTTAAGTGTTCCTCTGCTGCCGTCAGCAGTGACTCTAGTGAGCAGTTGATGACTTGATCGTGTCCAACTGATTACCAACCAATAACCACACAGCGGGACATTGGCTCATCACAGGCATACTGCAAAGGACGGCCAAAAAGAAATGCAAAAACATGCTCATCAGACAGCGTGTGGTAACTGATAACTCGAGTAGACACCAAATCTTCAACAATAGTCCCCCTAATGCTGCCAACTGCACTGAACTGCTGATGCCTGTGAATCATTACTTCCTTTACTGAGCGATCAGCCTGTGTGTGACTCTACCATGGCAAATAAGAGGCAGGCAATGAGCCATGCTTCAATCAATGTGCTGCAAATCTCACACACACACACACACACACACACACACACACACACACACACACACACACACACACACACACACACACACACACACACACACACACACACACACACACACACACACGATGTCATTCAGAAGCGTGTCTTCTGCAGGCGTGATGCTGATGCAGTTGCCTAGCAACCCCACAGATTGCGCATTTGGCACCCTCCTTCATTATTGAAAGTATATTTTCTGTGATGAGGCTCTGTTCGGCTCGTCGACTCGCCCCATTGTTACCCTTCTGGCGGTCAAATCATTCCTTTGACACAAGTTCGAGATCTCACAGTCATGTGGCAGTTTTATCGCCTGGTTTTGTCTGGTTAAAGCCTCCATGTGATGACATTTTGACATGGGACTAGTTTGTATTCAATAATGGGCTGATGACAGATGGGAAGGAGGAACAAAGCCTTTAATGTTCATTACAAAAAATCTCAAACCAGACACTTTGAGTAGTCTTGGGTGCTCAGTTTATAACATATTAATTAATTATCAAATTATTGAGAAACACATTGAAACTGCAGGAAAAACAGACATGTATGCAATAGGGATGTCAATTTCTACAAAACCCTGTGCTTGATGAGAATTTTAATTTGTGATCAATTAATCGTTAATCACCACTCCATCATAAACACAATAAAGTTAATACATTCAGCTAGGCTAAAAATCCACCCAAGCCTTTTCCATTCTGAGAATTACAGTTATTAGCCTAATAGCTTAGTCCTTGTAAACGATCTGTTTGTAAAATACATATGATTCTAGGCTACTAATAAATAAGCTAAATATGCAATGCATTATGATCCTTGCATAATGATCACAGCAAAAAAAAAAAAAAGCTAAGTGTTCATTTAATATATAAACTATTAAAATAAAAATAAAAAACAAGCCATTTTAAGTAATAGAACACTTTATGTAAAAAATCCAAACAATTATATAGTAGGCTACAGGCTAAATAAAGGTGCCTATATGTAAGTGTAAAGGAAATACAATCACAAAGACCAAATATTAGCCCAGCTGTACAATTATATTTCTTTTTCAAACATTTTCCAAGTGATGTTCAACAGAGCAAAAACTTTTTTTCACAGTATTTCCTATAATATTT